CTAGGCAAAGTCAGCACATTCACCACATAACAGAGACTCAGAGATAAAACAAAAGAACTCACTAATTGACAGACTCAACAAACAAAATGCAGGAACCCACAGATTTATTAAAGGAAAAAGCCTAACTGGGAAAACAAAATAAACAAAGCTGAGGGCTCCACAAAAAGATTAACCATTTTAGCTGGGAGCTCTTATCTAAAGCAACAGGTAGCTTTCAACTACAAAGAGTTTCTCATCTATGTACCGTTGACCATGAAAAACTGCTAATAAAACATCCTGTGTTGTCTCCTGAGCTACAAGATCATCTTCCTTTCCCATATAGATCAAAGACTCACCCTCCATTGTTGTAATGTCCATATATTAACTGTGCCTTTACTTAGCAAGACAAGATTTCCATCTAGGTCGTTGTAACCAGCAACGTTATCGCCCTGGCCCAAGACTGAAGTTATCAAACATCCTGCAAGCCCCCTCTTCAAAAGACTCTTCCCAATAATCAAAATCTAAAAAGATACAGCAGACAAATGGACTTCCTCATCCTGAGAACTGTGATTAATTTTACCTGAGCTAACAAGACAAACAGCATGTTTTATAATTATTGCTTCCATGCTTTGTATACCCGGTTCCTTAGAGTAAATCTTTTACTGCCCCTCACCCATTTACTTGCATGTATCACATTTTCAATAAAAAGGCACGATGATTCCTAGCAGTTGTTATTCCTCAGAGAGCAATCTTTGAGGGGTGTCCGGCATAGGACGTGCATGAAAAGGCATCGAGGCCTCTGTCTTCTGTTCACCTTCGCCGCCTCCGTCAAAATAACCCACCACGCCCGGCACGGAGAGGCTGCTGGACCACCTTCCTTCATAAACTGAGTTTCCTTTCCTGGAGTGTAAGCCTTCCTGCACACACATACACTGATTCTCACCATGCCACCCATAGGGAATGGAGGCATAGCTAACTGTACGAGATGCTCTAGGACCAGACCAGAGGTCTTGTGATTCTTTTAGTATCGATGGGTGCAAGCGTGACAGTGCATAGAGCCTGAGGTCTTTGGGATCCCAGGGAAACCGGAGGCCAATCTAGCTTTATCAGAATAAGCAATGGGAGAAAGTAATACGAGGTACGTCAGAGAGGTGGCAGGGCCAGATCACACAGCAAAGCGATGCTCCTCAAAGTTGGTCCAGGAAAGTGCCAGTCTGAAAAGTGCTTAGGAGATAAGTACAAAAGTCAAAATTAAGGGTTCAGGGGCCAGTAGGTGGTGCGGTGGTTACAGGTGTTGGACTCCCACATGGCTGGCTGCGCTTCAAGTCCTGGACTTGGTGGCTTGATTTCTCATTTTCTCTCTTTCACTCTGTCCCTCTCTGGTCAAAGTAAAGTAAATATAAATAATTAAATAAAGTTAAATAAAATAATTATTTTTTAAAAATAAGTGTTCAGAATTATTTTCTTTTTGAGAGATTTTAGTTATAGGGCATGTGTGCTCACCAGAAACAGAGAGAGAGGGGAACCAGCAGTTAACGTAATGGCTATGTCGCTGGACTCCCACGTAGTTGACCGCGGTTCGCATCCTGGACCCGGTGGCTTAAAACTCACGCCGGGCGCGTGTGCGTGCGTGCCCAAGATCCTGAGAGGAGAATGAAGGAGAAGGGATTGCGGCGTGACCATCCCCCCGGGGGTGATTTCTTGCTTTCTGTCTCTATGTCTCTCTCTGTCAGTCTGGCGAGTGCACATGCCCTATAGTGAAAATCTCTCCAAAAAAAAAGAAATGAAAAAAACAGAGAGAGAAAGTGAGAAATCACCTTCCCTCAACACACACACAGGGAGGATGGCCGCACCACAATCCCTTCTTTTCCATGCTCCTTTTGGGATTTTGGGCATGACATTCACGTGTCCAGCATGAGTTTCAAGCCGCCAGGTCCAGAACTCGAACCGTGGTTGGCCATGTGGGGGTCTAGCGATATGACTGCTACACCATTCTTTTTCAAAAAATTTAAACACAGAATTACCATATCATCTAGCAATTCCACTCCTATACCCAGAAGAATTGAAAAGAGGTATGGGGCTGGTAGGTGGCGTGGTAGCTAGGGGCACTGGATTCCCACATGGCCGAACACGGTTCGAATCCTGGACCTGGTGGCTTGCTTTCTCACTTTCCCTCTCTCTGTCTCTCTCTCACTCTGTTCCTTTCTGGTCAAATTTAAATAAATAAATAAAGTTAAATAAAAATAATTCTTAAAAAAAAAAAGTATTGAAAAGAGGTATCCAGGCCAACAGGTGACCCTCCACTGACATCTGGCTTCACCTTGGTACTCTACAGAGAGTCAACAACAACAGGACTTTCACCAGATGGCCCCTTGACCTTGGACCTCCAAAACCAAGAGCTAAGTAAATATATATTATTTTGTTTTCTCTTTTAAATTTTGCCAGAGGGTGTGAGTGCTTGCCAGAGACAGAGTCAGAGAGAGAGAGGGAGACGAAGAAAGCACCCTACTCTCCCGCCATGGGGCATGTCACACTGCAATTCTTTCTCTTCCGTTTCTTTTGGGAAAGTTTTTTGTTTTTTTTTGTTTTTGTTTTTGTTTCTTTTTTTATAGGGCACGTGCTCATCAGACAGACAGGAAGAGACAGAGAGACAGAAAGCGAGAAATCACCCCCCAGGGGTGGAGAAAGGAATCCCTTCTCCTCCATTCTCCTCTCAGGATCTTGGGCACGCACGCACATGCGCCCGGCATGAGTTTAAGTCACTGGGTCCGAGATTCGAACCGCGGTTAACTATGTGGGAGTCCAGCGACATAGCCATTACGCTAACTGCTGGTCCCAAGACTCTATATTTTTAATAAATTATCCAATCCGTGGTATTCTTTTATAGCAACAGAAAGATACATACTGAAATGTTATAGATGAAGTAACAGGATGTCTGAATTTCAATATAATCCACTGCTAGAGGTGGGGAGAACAGAATAAATAAGACTGGCCAGAAGTTGTAATTGCTGACTCTGGGTACTTGTGGTTTATTATACTATTTTCTCTACTGTTAATATATGTTTGAAATTTTTTCTTTGGGCCAGCTGGTAGTGTGATTAAGGAGGCTGGATCCCTCATGGCCAGCTGTGCAGCTTGAGTCCTATACCCCACGCTTGTAAAATATGTCAGGCACATGTGCCTGTGTGCCCAAAACCCCAAGAGAAGGGACAAAGGGAGGAGAGATTGTGATGTGACCACTAACCACTTGGGTGGGGTGGCTTTCTCAATGTTTCTCTCTCTGACAAGCACATGCGACCTCTCACCAAAAAAGATTTTAAGGAACCATCAGCTAGTGTAATGGTTATGTTGCTAGACACCCACATGGCCAACCGTGGTTCGAGTCCTGAACCTGGAGGCTTGAATAGACACAATGTGTGTGCATGCCTAAGATCCCGAACGGAGACTGGAGGAGAAGGGATTTCGATAAGGCTATCCCCACTGGGAGTTGATTTTTCACTTTCTCTCTGTCTCTCCGGTGAGTGCATGGGCCCTATAACAAGAATCTCTAAAAAAGTTTTTTTAATAAATTTAATAAATTAAAAAAATTTTTAATAAATTCTTTTTCATAAAAGAATAAAAAGAAACTCACGCATGTTCTCTCAGAAGAGAGTGTAGTGTCACATCCCATGAAAGCTTACTGTCCAGAGCCACGCCTGCCTCCCGCTGAGCTCTCAGATGAGGGACATGAATTATTGAAAGGAATCAGAGAGGCTCGGAAGCCATGGAATCTGAAGAGGTGGTGAGCACAGGGGCTGCGCCAGGCCAGGCAACTCAGCCCCCTCGAGGGGCCGTCACTGTCCTGCCATGCTGACGGTGGTGGTGGAAGTGGAGCAGGGGAGGGGACCAGGTAAGACGCACCCCACATTCATACTCTGTGGGAGTGCAGCCCAGGAGAGCCTCTGAGGAGAGAGGCAGGGCTGTGCTCACTCAACTTGGGAAACTGAGGCACAGGCTGAGGGCAGGATTCAGGAATCCTGGAAACCATTTTCCCTCATCAGAGTTGATATGAAGTCCATGTTTCTCAGGCCCTGAGGGAACCTGTAACCCCACCTTCCTTCTGGAGGGGCCCAAGAACCTTCGTTTGCTTCAGCCGGGGACTCTGGAGCGTGAGGTAGAAGGGCTGGTGTGCAGGTGAGGGTGGGGGAAGATGGGACCAACACTGCTGACTGCTGACCCCAGCCCTGCCCACAGGAACAATGCTTCACCTTTGACAGAGTCCTGGGTCCTGGTGCTGCTCAGGTAGGGAAGTCTGAGAGAGCTAAAGTAGGAGGATGGGAGCCCTCCGTCCCCTGGATTCTGGGGTGCAGGCTGCCTCCCATCTGCTTTGCTCAGGGCAGAGGGCGGCTGAGGTGAGGACTGCCCCTGTGTCTCCCTGCAGGAGGCAGAGAGGGAGCTGCTGGCATGTGTCCAGTCCACGCTGGGCTCTGTGGGCCAAGGGTACAGTGTGGCCTTGCTGCTCAGGGGTCGGGAGACAGAGGCACCCCGACTTGTGCCACAGGTGAGTCCCAGAGGTACCACCAGGGCACAGGCCTTGTGAGGCTTGGGTGTTGCCTTTTCCAGGAGACTTTGGGGAATTTTCCCTTCCGACTCCAGCTGGACTGGGTGTCCCTCCTTGGGGCTGCCACAGCACCCAGTGGTTCAGGCAGGAAATCTTTTTTTTTGAGAGGTTTTCACTATAGGGTGCGTGCGCTCGCCAGACAGACAGAGACAGAGAGACAGAAAGCGAGAAATCACCCCCCAGGGGGGATGGTCACGCCACAATCCCTTCTCCTCCATTCTCCTCTCGGGATCTTGGGCATGCATGCGCCCGGCGTGAGTTTTAAGCCACCGAGCCCGGGATGCGAACCGCGGTCGACTACGTGTGAGTCCAGTGACATAGCCATTATGCTAACTGCTGGTTCCCCCAGGCAGGAAATCTTGCCACGGTCAATTTATGCAGCTATTGGGAGGCCAAGAAAGTTGGGAGTCTAGGTTAGTACAGGGTGAGTCAGGGAGGGGTCGCACTTAAACACCAACTATCCAGGGAGATCTAATTTTCACAATTTTGATAATAAACTTGATGGTTTTCTTTGGGGGCTTCCTCAAAATGTCCCCCAAACCTAAATTACTGCCGTCGTGGGCCCCTGCCCAGCAAAAATGTTGGCTCGCTTTCTGGCTTTCTGTGGATGGGCAGGATGGTGCTATTTCTGGCCTGGACACCACAACCCCAACACCCAGCACAGGGCCTGGCACAGACGCGGCCCTCAGGAAGTGCTGAGGGATGGTTGCTGCTTTCCCAGTCCTCACTGGGCGCTTCTCCACTTCAGCTGCTGCAGATGCTATTCGAGGAAGCTCTGCGCCTGGGCTGCTCTGGTCACGTGTTCAGTACCCTAAGCCTGGTGCAGGTGAGACTCTTGGGGGAGTAGAGAGTGGTGTGGAGGAGTCTGGGCCATAGGGATGCTGCAGAAAGAGGTTGAGACTTGTGGGAAGCCAGAGAGCTTAGGTCCACGCCCTCTGTTGCTCAGTAGCCAGGACGTACCTCTCTTGGGTCTCTTTGGCCTTGATTGTGAAACGGCTGAATTATTAGTGCCCTGCTTGGTCCACAGGAGCATCATGGGAGTTGCAGGGAGGGAAAAGCTCAGGTTGTAATGAGTGTGCCTGTGTGACCCCAGCTCAGTCTCAACAGGAGCCCCCGGGACCTGCTCTCTCCAGAGGTGAAGAACCTGTCGGCGCTGGAGGTGGCCCCACTGGGCTTGTGAGTGTTTGGAGCCGGTGGAGTATGCCGGTGCTTGTCTTAAGGCAGGGCAGACCTCTCAAGCCAAGCCCTTGGAGGTTTCTACCCACTGCCTCATACCAACGACAGAAAACGCTGAGCTGGGTCATATTTACAGGAGGACCTGGGTCTCCGTTCAGTCCATATGTCCATCCCTCTCACCCCATTGCACCTCTTCAGCTTAACCCCTTCAACTCTATCCTCTTACCCCCCACTCAGTCGTTATCACACTGGGTGATTATTTATTTATTTATTTACTTATTTTTGTCATTGGGTAGCTGTGCTTGCTGGAGAGAGGGAGAGAGAAATAGTGAGAGGCAAAGTGAGAAATCACCCCCTAGGGTGATGGTCATGCTGTAATCCCTTCTCTTCTATTCTCCTCTCAGGATTTTGGGCATGCACACATGCCCAACGTGAGTTTTAAGACACCAGGTCCAGAACTTGAACCTTGGTCAGCCATGTGTGAGTCCAGTGCCTTGACCACCATGCCACCTGCTGGCCCTCGCACTGGGTGATTTTCAGCATTTCATTGGGCAGAACTTCAGTTTTTCCATCTATAAAATGGAGCCATCCCAAGTACACTGTTTGTCTCACTGGGCAGATCACAGGAGGAAAATAAGATCTTGAAGACAAGGGACTTTTAGGGAAGTATCCTGAGCTTGGAGATTTTGGGGGTAATTCCTGGAGGCTATAGGGACCTTAAGAGATCCTCAGGTAGAAGTTCTGGGTGGCAGGAAAGAACTCTGACACTTAGTTCTGAGCTCAGTCTCCCTTTCCTGCAGGGTGGTAGAAGGAGCCAGTGAAGTGGAGGTATCCAATGCAAGAAGCGCCTCGGCATGGTACTTGCAGGCCGCAGGGGCTGAAGACAGGTGAGGATAAGAAGGCCACTGTCATTCTGCACCTTGTAGGCATTTGGCCTGAGCTTACCCTCTCTTCCACAGGGCCTGCTCTCTGCTCACTCTCACCATGTCCTGCCCAGGGCCTGACCCTCCTGAGGGTCCTGGGACCCAAACCATGTGGCGAGGGGTGTTGAGGATCCTGCAGCTACCAGAAGCTCCGTAAGTCTGAGGGGGCCCTTCTGCTGGCATCGAGGGGTGAGGTGGAGAGCCAAAACATGAGTGTAAAAGCCCATCAAAATCTTTTTTCCTTTCCTCAACACTGATAGTAAGGAAACTCCAGAGCCTAAGCTCAGCTGTCTGTTGGCAGACAACGTGGGTAAAGACAACTAGAGAATGAATGGAAGTATTGAGTAAAAATAAACACTTCCAGCCACTGTTTTCATATGTTGGTAAGTGCACCAGGGCAATTTAGCAAATACTGGCTTCCAGTATGTTTGTCTGATTTTTCATTTTTTTTTTCTAGTACCTTTTTATTTTGACATTCTTAACTCATTAACTCTATCAGACTGAAATCTTGGAAAGAACCTAAATGTCCGAAACCAAGATTGGAAATTTCCCAAAGAACCATTATCTTCATGCTCTCCTTCAAACTCCACTTTACTTAGCGCTCAAAAGTTGTGAAAACATGGGCTGACTCTGTGGCCTAGTGGTTAAGGCAGCCATATACCACATGACCCAGGCACAGTTCAAGTCCTGGACCCAGCAGCTTGAAAAACACGTTAGGTGCATGTGCGTGCACGGCCAAAATCCTGAAAGGAGGGAGAAATGGAGGAGAATAGATTGCAGTACGACCGTTTTCCCTGGGGGAGAGGGTGCTTTCTACTTCTTGCCCTGTCTGTCTCTCTCTGGCAAGCATATGCATCCATGCCCTCTAGCAAAAAAAAAAAAAAAAAAAAAAAAAGAAGAAGAAGAAGAAAAAACTTTTAAAACATGAAGGTAGAAAAGAATGATTTCAAGCCAATCTGCAAGATCTATAATATAATGAAAACAATGTCAAATTTAGAAATGCCTGAAAACAAATTAGAGAAAAACAAAAAAGAAAGGGAAAAAGGTATCCTAAATTCCAGACTATTCTTTTCTTAAAAGAATTACTTATTTATTTAATTCCATTTTTTTTAATTTTTAAGAATTATTTTATTTATATATATATGGCCACACCGCAATCCCTTCTCCTCATCCTTCACTCAGGATTTTAGACACGCACACACTCATGCCCGGCGTCAGTTTAAGCCACCGGGTCTGGGACTCGAACTGCGGTTGACTATATGGGAGTCCAGTGACATAGCCATTATGCCAACTGCTGATCCCTTACTTTGCCAGTTTTTAAAATTAGATGCTTTTTATTGTTGAGTTGTAAGAGTGTTTTCTTTTCTTTTTTTTTTGGAGAGGTTTTTGCTATAGGGCGCGTGCACTTGCCACACAGACAGAGAGAGACATAGAACAGAAAGCGAGAAATCATCCCCCAGGGGGGATGGCCACGCCACAATCCTTTCTTCTCCATTCTCCTCTCGGGAACTTGGGCACGCATGCACATGCGCCTGGCATGAGTTTAAACCATCGGGTCCGGGACGTGAACGGAGGTCGACTACATGGGAATCCAGCGACATAGCCATTACGCCAACTGCCGGTCCCAAGAGCTTTTTCTATATTCTGACACAAATTTCTTGCCAGGAATAGAATTTTTTTTATCCTAAGAATGTATTACTGGGGCCAGCAGATGGCATGGTGATTGGAACACTGGACTCCCACATAGCCAACTATGGTTTGAGTCTTGGAATTGGCAGCTTGCTTTCTTACTTTCCCTTTCTCTCTTTTTGATCAAATTAAAAAAATAAATAATAGTAACAAATGAAATTAATTTAACACATAAATTTATTTATTTTTTACAAATTATTTATTTATAGGACCAGCAGTCTCTCTCTGTCTGTCTGGCGAGCGCACGCGCCCTATAGCGAAAACCTCTAAAAATTAAATTATTTATTTATTCACTCATTTATTTTTTAATTTGACCAGAGAGAGACACAGAGAGAGAGAGAGAGAGGGAAAGTGAGAAAGCAAGCCACCAGGTCTGGGACTTGAACCTTGGTCAGTCATGTGGGAGTGTCCAACACCTTAACCACCACACCACCTGCTGACCCCCTATAAATTAATTTTTAAAAAAGAATGTGGGACCAGTAGATGGCATAACAGTTATGTCACTGGACTCCCACATAGTTGACCGAGGTTCGTGTCCAGGATCTGGCAGCTTAAAACTCAGACTGGGTGTGTGTGTGTGCGTGTGACCAAAGTCCTGAGAGAATAGAAGAGAAGGGATTGTGACATGGCCATGCCCCCTGGGGGTGATTTCTTGTTTTCTGTCTGTCTCTCTGGTAAGCACAAGTGCACTGTAACAAAAATCTTTCTCTTGGGACCAGCAGTTAGCGTAATGGCTATGTCGCTGGCCTCCCATGTAGTCAACCGCGGTTCACATCCTGGACCCGGTGGCTTAAAACTCACGCCAGGCGCGTGTACATGCGTGCCCAAGATCCAGAGAGGAGAACGGAGGAGAATGGATTGTGGCGTGGCCATCCCCCCTTGGGGGTGATTTCTCACTTTCTATCTCTCTGTCTCTCTCTCTCTGTCTGGCGAGCGCACGCGCCTTACAGCAAAAAAAACTCTCAAAAAAAATCTTTCTCTAAAAATAAATAAGTAATAAATAATGTATTACTTCTGTAATTGAAAAATAATAATAAAATACAAATCTGTATGTGCTACAAATCTGTCTGGTGGTGCACAAAGCTTGCTGGAAATAATTGACCTTACAGCAGACGTGTTTCTGTCATGTTTCCTTCCCTATCCACCAATGAACATCTTTCCTTCCTCTCGCTCTCCCTCTCTCTCTCTCTGGCAGAGACTGCCCCCTGCTGCAGGTGCTGGCTGGTGAAGCTGTTGGCAAGGAAGTGGAGGGCTCTCTGCCCTGGATTGTGTCATGGCTCCTGGAAGGAAACAACTACAGTGGACTACTTCTTCGTCTGGATCCCCAAGGTGGTCTGAGAGAGCATGTGGGGTTCCTCAGGAAGCTCACAGATTTGACTTAGGCCTGGCTTGCCCAGTCACCAAACTAGCCCCACCCACAATCCCAGGCCAAAGACAGAGCCTCTCTGGAAAGTCAGCACTGAGGAAGGTCCTGAGGGGCTAGGCTGCATAAGCCTGGGAGGCAAGAGTGAGGCGGGTAGTAAAATAACTTCTCACTTTTCAGAGACTTTTAACAGCTTACCAAGCATTTTTGCATTAATAACTTAAATTCTTTTCCTTTCCTTTTTTTTTTTTTTTTGGAGAGGTTTTTGCCAGAAAGACAGAGACAGAGACACAGAAAGCGAGAAATCACCCCAGGGACCATGCCGCATTCCCTTCTCCTCCATACTCGGGATCTTGGGCATGCACGTACACGTGCCCAGTCGAGTTTAAGCCACTGGGTCTGGGACTCGAACTGCAGTCAACTGCATGGGAGTCCAGCGACATAGCCATTACACTAACTGCTAGTCCCAATAACTTAAATTCTTGACGCTATCCCATGAGGCAAATCTAATTTACAAATGGAGAAGGAGAGTTAGGCCTAATTTACAGATCTGGAAAGGGAGGTCTAGGGAGGGAA